AGATTTCAGGAAGGAAACTTTTCATCAGTAAGTGTGGATTTGCATGTAGCTGCCGCTGCTGCCTTGGTGTCGTGAGGTGCTGTTGAATCAGCCCTGGCTCAGGGACCCCCGGTCCAGCAGAACCTAATGATCGCCGCCCAGTCCTTGGCCATCTGACGACTGGCATGTCGGTGTCAGTCCGTCTCTGAGAGGGTCAAGCACGACTTCTCCTTCCTGGAACTGGTGTCCAAAATACCAGAGAGGAAGACTCTCCAGCCCCACTTCTAAGAGCATTCTGGCTGAACCTCCTCCAAGACATGCCTGTTCCTCTGACAGCCCATGATGCTCCAACAGTCTTTCCCAACACCCACGTCCAAATGCAGCAATTCTGCTCCTGCATCCTGCCAGCAAAATCCTCACTGCCAGCAAGTCAACACCGACTCTTAGTGACCCTCTAGGACAGGGCAGAACTGCCCCTGTGCGGTTCCAAGCCTGTCACTGTCGATGGAAGCAGGGTACCCCGGCCTTCTCCCAAGGAGCAGCTGGTGGTTTTGAAATGCTGACCTTAAGGATCACAGCCCAATGCTACTGTGCCACCAGGGCTCCTTTGTCTGTCTCCCTGCCATAAACCCACTGCCATCAAGTTGACGCTGACTCATAGCAACCCCTTAGGACAGGGTGGAACAGCCCCTGTGAGTTTCTGAGACTGTAGCTCTTCATAGGAGTAGAAAGGCCTCCCTTTCTCCCTGGGAGCCACTGGTGGTTTTGGACTGCTGACCTTGTGGTTCTCAGCCCAAAGCATAACCACTACTCCGCCAGGGCTCCTTCATCTGTAGAAGGGGTTAAGTGTGCATGTGCCCTGGGGAAAAGTAGCTTGGAAATAACCTGAGCCATCCCTTATGTACCGTGTGTCTCACCGTGGTATCCTAAGGGTGTCTGGTTTTCCGACACCAGAGACAGTCTATCATGGCGTCCTGCAGAGCCATCCTTCTAGTGTACACGAAGCTAATGACCTGCTGAAGAGCCACCGCGTGGCAGGGAAGGCTGGCTGTGGCATGCATGGCCTCGTTCCCTGACTGATGAGGCAGGACTCTTGCTGTGGAACCAGATCCTTGTCTCAATTAGTGAAGGTGGAGGGCTGTCCCATTGTGGACTGGAGACAAGCTGTTGTTGTTAGGTGCCAGCAATTGGCTCCGACTCCTAGTGCCCCTGTGTAGAAGAGAGCGGGACACTGCCCACCCCTGCTCCAGCCTCACAACTGTTCCTGTGTTTGAGCCCATTGTTGCATCCACCGTGTCAATCCCTCTTTAGGGTCTTCCTCTTTTGTGCGGACCCTATACCTTACCAAGCGTGATCGCATGTCCAAAGTGCGAGACCAAGTTTTGACATTCTTGATTCTAAGGAATATTCTGGCCGGCCTTCTTCTCAAACAGATTTGTTCTTCCTTTTGGCCGTGCAGGACACTTTTCCACAGTCTTTGCCAGCATGGTAATTCCAATGCATCAGTACTTCACCAGTCTTCCTAATTCTTAGCCCTCCTTTCCCGGGCATATGAGGTAATTAAGAATAGCCTTGCTTGGTTCAGGCATGCCTTTGTTCTGAGAGTGACATCTCTACTCTTCGGTGCTTTAAAAATGCTTATGCAGCATATTTGCCTGATCTGCTATGTCACTTGGTTTCCTGACTGCTGTGCTCTGCACTGTGCATAGAGCGAGAGGGGCTTGGACGACACGTTTCCTAAATGGTTCAGGACAATCTGTGTCCATCCCCCAAGCCAGGTCCCTTTCTGAAACTCCGCTATCATTCTGGTAGGATAATGGACAGTCTTAGAAATCATCCTAGAAGCTTTAAAAAAATGAAGACATGGGCAGTGTCTCATATAATGACTTGTTTTACCATTAAGCATGCCTCATTTGGAAATACTTCCTACAGTGTTTGAGATGGATCATGTAATGCCACCACACATCTCCCCACATAAGCAGCATGTCTTGTTCGTTCTCCTGCAATCATATTATTCTCCCCAGAAACTGACTTTGGAAGACTTAACTGAGAGAAAGGGTAGCTTCTCAGATTGAGCTAGAGTTCCACAAAGGGAAGTTATCTCAAAGGAAGCAAATACAGGAGATTTATATTGAAAGCAGTAAATAATGGTGCCATTGCAACTCCAGAGCTGTCTGGACTTATGATTTAGAGTGCATCTTGTGAAACAAATCACATTTAACCTGATCCAAGGCTTAGATGAGGCAGCCCGTTGTACAGTGATGTCTGCAGCAAGGGTTGCTGTCATTCCTCATGTATTCGGGGTTTGTTGCTCACCACTGGATGCTTCTAGAATGGTGGCTTTCACTATGTAAATAAGGTTGTTTTGATCAGTCCAAGATGCCAGCAGTCTGTAGGACTATTAAAAGGCCACTCACTACCTAATAGCAAAGGGCAGTGGTAGTGAGGGGTAGAATTCTCACCTTTCACGCGGGAGACTCAGGCTTGATTCCTGGCCAGGGCACCTCAAGGGCAGCCCCTGCCCCACTGTCAGCGGAGACTTGGGTGTTGCGGTGATGTTGAACAGGCTTGGGTGGAGCTTCCAGATTGAAAGGAAAAGTCTGGTTACCTATTCTGAAATTTAGCCAATGCAAATACTATGGAGTCATCATGACTTGGACAGTCAACTTGATGGTAGCTGTTTACAGCAAATAGGAATCTCGCCAAGTTGCAATCTCCCTGGGACTAGAAGCTGTCTTTTTCTGCAAGCCAGCAAATAATGCCATGGAGGTCAATTTCAAGAAAAGCCGTCACTATTCTGTTAAGAAATGGGCAGTCTTAGAAATTCTTTCAGAACTTAAAAAAATTATATGACATAAGCAGTTTCTCACATAATTGTTTAGGCATTAACTATGCCTCAATTGAAAGCACTTCCTACAGTGTCTGAAATGGGTCACATATTGTCACGGCATACCTCCTGCAATCATTGACCCACTGTCCATGTTCTTCTGACCGCATGGCCCACCGGAAGGGTGGGTCCTGTTTGAATAAGGGGTTTGGAAAAGTGGAGGAGAAGAGAACCCAGTCGCAGCTTGATTTGTAACGAGGATAACAGTCAAGGGTACCAAGGGGAGCACTGTGATGCATGTGCTAGGGGCAGTGGATGAAATTCTGGTAATGGGACTGGAGGTCCTGACCCTATCACTGTGGAAACCCCTGAAAGTCTCTTCACGAACAGTGGCAAGAGATTCTGACGCCTGGATAGTATCACTATTGCCATGTTCTACGGTGTAGACTTTTAATAGCCATTTTTGCACATGCAGAAAGTTCTCGTGCTTAATACAAAGCATAAAAATATTTTAAAAGCATCAGGAAGAAAATAAAAATCACTTTGCCTCATGGATTTTTAAAGAGATCTTTTGAATTTTAACTATAAATGCTTTTAGTACACATTTGTGATGGGTATAGATTCCAAGCAGTTTAGTAAATGGAATCAGTATTCCATTATGGTTATCTACAAGAAGGCATGTGTTCTTCTTAAAGGAATCCCATGTTTTCTGTCTTGTGCTAGCCTTCCTCTTTCCTATCTCAGGCTAAGCACTAAGTATGTCCCTTGCTCCTCCATGATTCTGCCAGCAAACTTCATTTACAAGAACCTCTTACAGCCGGACAGGGAAGGGAGAGACCTCGAGGATGAGCCCTCTCCTTTTGCAGATGAAGAACTCGAGGTGGCAGCTTGTTCCTTCCAAGGCTCTGCACTGTGTGCGTCAGGACTGTACCTAGGTCATTCCTTCCAACAGGGTCTCCACACTGCTCATTCACCTCTCTGCGTGAGCCCCCGTGGATTTGAGTGGCTCGATTGATTTACCTCAACTTGACCTGCTGGGTGCACGACCGAGATAAAACATGCTCTGGAAAACCAGAATTCTTGTGTTACAATCCGACCTTTAGGGCTGGGAGTGTTGGGTCCCCCCCACTGCAATGAGGGGCGAGAGCCAAGTTCCCTTAGGCACCCTGGGTGAGGAAGGGAGGGCAGTTGGCCATCCCAGGAATTTGACCGCACAGAAAGGGGGTCAAATGCAACGTAAATCAGTGAAGATGTTATCATAAACTCTCAGAGGAGGCTGCTTAGATGTCTACAGAGCAGGGAGGCGCTGTGGGGGTGGATGGCTTCGGGCCTGCAGTCCCTGGGCTCCTCAAATGGAGGAAGAGTGAACCCCTGTGTGGCTCTGGGCTAGAACAGGTCGAGCTAACAAAGTGTGCACCCATCATCCAATCAGGGCCATAGCTGACAGGGAGCACTCTGGAGGCAGGGACCTCGAGGGCCCAGCATGTCAGAGCCCTTCCAGGCCCTGCTGCCTCCGTTGTTTGCCACACCCAGTGTGGCTTTCAGACCTGCTCTCCTTGAGCTGACAACCCCATCCCGCCACGGCTGGCTCTGGCCGAGGGCTGTCCTTGGGGCTGAGTGCACAGTCGAGCCACATGCATGTGGGGTCTGGAACGGGTCTGCAGAGCCTGCCACCTCGCCCGTGGTATCCGCGTCCTTCTTTGGGGCCACTCGTCTGCTCTGTGTGAGGGCGGGAGGTGCCCTGGGGTCAGACTGGGGATTGGTGTGGGGTCTGGCGGGGAGAACTGACCTGGGGTCTTGCCTACATGTCACCCGCAGGGGGACCAGACAGCCCTGCACCGGGCTACGGTGGTGGGGAACACGGAGGTCATTGCAGCGCTCATTCAGGAGGGCTGTGCCCTGGACCGGCAGGACAAGGTAAAGGGGGAGCGGGGAGATGCCAAAGGGGGAAGCAGGAGGCCTCCTTGGGGGCTACCGTTCCTGGGTCTTACCAGTCGCGCTGCGTCCTGAAGGGACCAGGCCGACTTTCCTTTGAAAAGGACACCTGGGTCCTAGCACATTGTTTGCTTGTCTTCTTCCCCCCTGTTTTGGTGGCATCCGTGGCAGCCACATCAATCATTCAAAGTAAAAAGGAAATAATCCAAAAATAATGGCAGTCAGGCGTCCGGATGAAAGTGGGCGCTGTAACCAGCTGACTGCTGGTTTTTTTAAATCAACTTTCCATCGCAGGATAAGGCACACACGGAAAGGTGCCCGCATCAGGGCCCCACCTCTGACTTTTCCCTGCCTGAGCACACCTGTGTGGTCACAATCGCTCCTCTCTCCCGTGGTCCCTGCTGCACCGCTCACCTCCTGCATTTCCTTCTGCACCCTGCGCTGTGCAGTCAGTCGCTGCCCCTGCCTGCACCACCAGGAACCCTGTCCGGGCTCAGGCTTCCCCCTGTGGGTGTCAGCAGCGGTTGGCCTTGTCTCTTTTGTGCATATTTCTATTTCCCAGAAACACAGGTGTGGTTTCAATAAAAACCTGTCTGGACATAATTGATGGATGCTTCCGCACTGCCCCTAGCTGGTTGACCTAGGAACAGCCTGGAAGAGATCCACCCTTCTCCCTCCGTTATAACTCCTAACTTCGGAGCCTACCTCCCGCCACGCTGTGCACCCAGTAACATTTCGTTCCTTTTCATAGTGCTGTTAAAGCCAATAGGAGCCCAGGTGGTGTCATAAGTTGCCCATTGGACTGTTAACTGCAAGGTCAATGGGCTGAATGTACCAGTGCCTCAAAAGGAGAGAGATGAGGCAATTGGCTCTTAAACAAAGATTTGCAACTTATGTCCTGTGGGGTCTCAATGAAACTGATGATGGTGCACTAGCTCTTAGACCAAGAAGACCTATGTTAGTCCATTGTTTTCAGATGCTTGCTGAACTTATTCATAAATCCGTATTTCCTCAGTGTCTGCTCATTTAGGGCCCTGAAGCTTTTAGATCTATGGGGTAAGACTAAATTTGGGGAAGAAAGTGGTCAGGAATCCTCCTATTAGGCCCCTGGGATTTACAAGGCAGACTCTTCATTTGCCCTGTCTCTGTTGGCTTCTCTCTGCTGGGGGGAGCAGGGCAGACCCTGAAGACCATCGAGGTGGAGGGTCAAACGTGACATTGCTTTCTGGGAACCGTGAGCTCTGGATGGCCCTGAAACCTTTCTCCAAGGGATTCCCTGGGAGAGCCTGGATCCCTACCACCTCAAGGCATCCATTGTCCACCTTGAGTTCATTGCTCTTAAACCCATAGCTCGTCCAAGCATGGGGAAGGGCACCACCTCTGGGAGGACTGAGGACACTCCGTGCTCTGTGGTTCCCATGAAGAACCCCAGTTGAGAAAGGCCCGCTATTGTGCCCTGAAAATGCACTACCATTGCCCCAAGCGGACAGGAGGATAACTTTCCAGATCCTCTGGAGAAGGCAGGAGCCCCAGTGGCTGTTGGTGGTTACACGTTGGGCTGCCAGCGGCAAGGTCAACGGTTCCAACCTACCAGTCGCTCTTCGGGAGAAAGACGAGGCTTTCTGCTCCCACACAAACTTACAGCCGTGGAAACCCTAGTAGCAGCTCTCCTCTGCCCCACATGGTCACTGTGAGTTGGAATCGACTTACCGGCCGTTGTTCGGCGTCTTGGTTTGGGAGACTCTAAGGATTAACTTGTTTTCTCACCGTGTGTGTCCCTCAGGATGGGAATACGGCCCTGCATGAAGCGTCCTGGCACGGGTTCAGCCAGTCGGCTAAGCTGCTCGTTAAGGCTGGAGCCAATGTGCTGGCCAGGAACAAGGTGAGGCCTGGCAGGTGCTAGCCCTCCAAGCCCTGGGGGTGAGGGTGGCCCTGGCTCTTGAGGGCGCCTCCTCTCCGAGAGCGGTGGGCAGGCCAAGGCACACAGAACCTGGGAGGGACAGTTCCAGCCACAGTGAGGCGCAGGCTAGAAAAGGAGCCCCCAATAGCAGTACAGTCCTGCTGAGGAAGGGAGAAGCCCAGCTGCCTGAGCAATGTACGTGGGGGCCACGCCTCACCACCTTGACACTACTGAATTAAAGTGCAGCCACGGAGAGCTGGCATTTCAAAAACAGCAGGAAGAGAACTTCCGAAAGGTCCAGCCATTCCTGCCAGAGAGTTGTACTTGGGTCCGTGGGGTGGTGGGTGAGTGTGGATTGGAACCATCGCAAGTGGGAGGCAGTCTGGCCCAACCAATCAAGAGCCTTAAGATGAGCCCGGGCTTTTCACCCAAGAACGACTCTTCTAGGAGTTTATTCTAAAGAGACAATAAAAATGCTGGCAAGAATTCACCCACCAGGATTTGTAACACAGCAATAGTTTCAGGAAGGGGAAAAAAGAGGAAGGGTTTAAAAAATCCTAGTTGGTTTATAATTTGTAATACAATATGTAAGTCTGCTCTGGGAGACAATGTTCCCAATATGCCTTACAGATACAGCAATGGGAAACAGCCAACGTACCACACGTCCTCACGCGCACCATGCGTCCCGAGTAAAACCCAGGGGGCACCCTCCAAAGTGCTCCCTGGTTATCTGTGCTTGACTTTTGTGCCTCTTGTGTCCACGTTTCCAAAACGAGCCCCTAGTTTCGTTTACAATAGGGAAAAGGTGTGTCTTATGTTTAAAAGAAGATGTCTTAGCAGTGCTTGGGGGAGTTGCAGCAGTTATGAGAAGGGAGTCTTAAAGAGGCTCATCCCATGTTGTGTCCTTCAGTGCCCATCCTGGATCTGCGAGAAGGATGGGCCAAAGAATTTCCCACGATGCACCAGAGGGTGGTGACTGAATAATGAATCAGGTGTGCTCAAGCAAACTAGGTGGCAGCAGTGTAGAGCGTGGGCAACTAGTCTCCCTGAAACACACACACACACACACACACACACACTTAATTGCATGTGAACTTATGGCCGATGGGGATCTGAAACCATGGTGTCCCTAGTTCAGGATACATACAGACACATCTGCACATGGAGCCCTGGTGGTGTAGTGGTTCCACATTGGGCTGCTAACTGCAAGGTCAGCTGTTCGAAACCACCAGTCCCTCCTCAGGAGACTCCCATAAAGAGCGACAGTCTCGGAAACTCTCAGGGACAATTCTATCCTGTGCTACAGGGTTGCTATGAGTCGGCATCGACTCAGTGGCAGTGAGTTCTGTACACACGGGCTTCAACATCCTCAGGCTAAAGATGCAGTGTTCAGGCAACCTATCAGAAACACGCTCCATCTATCCGCCTGCTCAGCAGCCCTGCTGGTGCTGTGGGCAACACGACACGCTGGCTGCTCACCACAGGTCAGCAGCAGTTGGAAGCCACCGGCAGTGCCGTGGGGTAAAGATGAGGCTCTCTGCGCCTGCACAGCTTCTGTCTTGGGATCCGCAGGAGCAGCTCCACTCTGCCCTGTAGGGGTGCTATGAGTCAGAATCCACTTGACGGCAGTGGGAGGGCTGGACCGTGTAGCCCAGCCACACGGAAACGAAGAACCGGAACTCCCTGAAGAGCATGCCGTCTGCAGGGTGAGCGGCAGAGCCTGTTCTAGTGCCTTTGACTGCCTCCTCTGCGAGCCCCAGCCCTTACTGCGTTTCCACTGGCGTGTTTAAGAGTGCACACGAGCAAGCCCTCCCGGCCCTCACAGAGAACTGTAACAGAGGGTCTCCAGACTTGGGGTTTGTTTGTTCACACAATTACATAACCTATTCAGGAGCAGAGCAGTACCACTTAGAAGAAGTACACATTCGGGTCTCAGAGAGTATTTGTTCAATGAGTGAGTAGCTTTCAGCTCAGGAGGGCACCACGAGAAGGCTTTAGCCAGGCAAGGACAGCCCGGCTGTGCACAGTGCCAAGAGGGGACCACAGGGACAGGCCTGCTGCTGAGCAGAGCGGGGCCTCGGGTCAGGCTCCGAGTCCTCGTGTGCACTCTGGTCAGTGCATGGACTTAGAGTTGGACTGCTGTGGTGGGGGCGCAGAGGTGACGCTGCCTGTTTATTGCTTTTTTTTTTTTTTTTCTCCAGGAGCTTGCTCCCCTCTGGATATTGTCTCCAGAAGGCTGAGTTTCTGACCTTTTGAAAAAAGGGAAACTTGTTTTTCAAAAAGAAGTAGAAAACAGTGTGTCATCAGTTCACGTTCCTCAAGCCCCCAAGTTTTTTGTTTTGTTTAGTTTTTTAAAATTGGGCTTTAGATGAACGTTTACACGGCAAATGAGTTTCCCATTTGATCGGTTAGTACACGGGTGTTCCATGATAGTGGTTGAGCCTCCATCTTTTTGGTTAACACACGCACCACGCTAACCGTTCGCACCATCAGGCTGAGACCATGAGACCCTGGTAGGTAGAGGACGGGGCTGTTCTGCCGACGTGGATTCCAAACTGAAGGTGCTTCCTGCTCACACCCCACTGTGGGGACCGCTCATCCGGAAGCTGAGGGCGTGAATGGTGGCCTCTTTTCTCTGCCCCTCTACAAGAGGTGCCCTGTGCAGGCCTGTGGAGAAGTGAGCGAGTCCCTAAGTCTAACTGTTGTGTGTGTTGCGCCCCCCCCCCAATCTGCCTCTCTCCAAGGCCGGGAACACCGCTCTGCACCTGGCCTGCCAGAACAGCCACTCCCAGAGCACACGTGTCCTCCTGCTGGGCGGCTCCCGCGCAGACCTCAAGAACAACGTAGGTGAACAAACCCCCCTCTCGCAATTTCTTTCTCGGATGATGTGTTAGACTAGAGAAACAGATCCAGGGAGACTTGTGTGTGTAAGAAAGAGGTTTATATATGACAGCAATTGAACATTGAGAAAACATCCCAGCCCAGTCCAGATCAAGTCCACGTGTCTGATATCAATCTATAAAGTCCTCTTCAGACTCATGTAACACATGCAATGACACCGAATGCAGGACAATCACAGGCCAGTGGCTGGAAAGGCTTTTGTGGATCCAGTGGCAGTGGAAGCATCTCAGCGCTGGTGTGGCTCTCCACGTCGCTCCTCAAGCTCCAGCTCAGTGTAGCTCCATGTGGCTTGTCAACAGGAACGTCTCACAGGGAGACAAGCAGAGAGTGTGTCTGGTCTCCAGTGAGCTATTTATCTCCATAGTGCCTTCAAATGAGGTCGTCAAGAAGCCACCTGATTGACAAACTAAATTCTACCCTTGACACCAAATTGTATAACTACCACAGATGACCGCAGAAAATAGCCCCCCAAGTATACTTGGTTGTTGAAATGTAGGCACTTAAAGTGTCAACATTGCTTGGGGTCTATGTAAAGATGGCATTCTTCGACTTGGCCACCTTGGCTCAGGAATTTGGCTGATGCGTCTCCCCAAAAGAGCTTTAGCTGTGATCTCCTGTTTGGGGACACAGTCACCGGAGGCGGTTCACAGAATGCACTGAACCTCAGCATCGAGCATGGTTCCTTCTGAATCCAGAGTGAGAAAGTTCTGCTGAGTGGCCGCCCTTCTCTGGGCAGCGCTATCATAAAACATCAAGACTTCCTGTTTTCAGCGTTGTGGTTCTGTAAGCAGAGTTCAATCTGTGACCACAAAGGGAGACCCCGATCCTGAGCTATTCTGAATGTCATTTGATTGTTCCCTGGGATCCGATTGCTCATCAGCTCCCCAGGCGACACCACCCTGGGTAGGAAATACTGGGATTCCGCCCACAAGGGGACTCTTTGAATTTTCCTGAACACACACACTCCTCAAATCCAACAGTTCCCCTGCTGCCCTGTCCTGCTAGCCCGTGATGGATCTGTGAGGGGAAAGCTTTATTTCCAAAGCAGTGTGGTTGGTCTGAGTCCAGTTTCCTCCGGAGCGTTGAGCTTTCAGGGAGGGTGTGTGGGGTGAACAGCTCTCCTGAAGGTCTCGTGGGGAGCAAACCTCCTTTGTGAGAAATGTGAAGAATGAGATGCTTATCCTGCAGGTTGACACTCCTGAAGAATGGAAGATAGTCTGCCAGCATTTAAATGATTTATTTTAATTTTCTGTTTTGTTTCATAACTGCACAGACTGTGCTTAGAGTTTGATTTCTGTCCGCAGGCAGGCGACACCTGTTTGCACGTTGCTGCACGCTATAATCACTTGTCCATCATTAGGCTCCTCCTCAGTGCTTTCTGTTCTGTCCATGAAAAGAACCAGGTCAGTGCATGTGTCCTCCCCATGGCCGCCAGGCACCCTTCTTACAGGCTGGCAGGTGTGTGAGGTCAACGGGAGCAGAAGCTGTGGGGAGGGGGCGCCCTCGGGCCTGCCTGGGATCCAACCAGTGATGGTCAGTGGACGTGCCATTGGCCCCTGCATTGAGCTTGCCCATGTCATTCCTGTACATAGCACCACATTTGCATATCGAATATTTTCTGGAGATGCTGGAGCGAGTTTGTTTTTTGATGTGATTTTTGAAAGGAAACCTTTTAAGAAGTGGCGTGATATTAAATCAGTCAAGGAATGCAGAGTCTCATAACTCCCTGTGTTCTGTTCCGGACACTGACACCTACTTTTACTGGGTTTATGGGTTTCTGTAAAGTTGGGCATATGATATGAGTCTGGCTTTTTTATGTTGTTTTTTTCATGTCCTGGGATTGTGGTGGCTTTTTTGTATTTGTTTTTCCATTTTCTTCCTTTATTTCATATGAGATTCATTGGGGGGGGCGGTCTGCAAAAGAAAAAATTTTAAATTTATACCTATATATATCAATTTAGATATAGCATTTGAATACATATTTACACTTTGGGGGCGTGTTTGTTTCCCTTTTGAATGTATTTTTTCCTGTAAATTTTATTTATTTTGTTGCGAGTGTACAGAGCAAAACACATCAATTCAGCCGTCTCTACATTACAAGTCAGTGACATTGATCAGATTCTCCAGTTGTGCAACCATTCTCACCCTCCGTTTATAAGCTTTTCCTCCCCCGTTAATTGTCCCCTAACAGGATCCCTGATAGCATAGTGGGTTATGGTATTGTGCTGCTAACTACAAGGTTAGCAGTTCAAAACCACCGGCCGCTCCGTGGGAGAAAGATGACGCTTTCTCCTCCCATAGCCAGGTATAGTCCCAGAAGCCCAGAGGGGCATTCCTACCCTGCACTAGAGGGTTGCTGATGGCAGTGAGCTCAGACATTCTGGTGGCTTTGTGTTGTGTTTTGTTTGTTTTTTTACATTCCCTACCTGGTATTTAGAGATGCTGTTTTCAATTTGACTCCTATGTTGGGTCTTGGAATAAAACTGTGATTATTACAGTATTCCCATGGAAATATGAGTGACTTTATGTAGTCATTTGGATATTATATATCCAAATATATATAGTTGTTGTGAGGTTCCATCCAGTCAGTCCGTCTCATAGTAACGATGTGTAAAAGGGAATGAAACCCTGTCTATGTATGAAACTTAAAAAATTAGATTGTAATTCCAAAAACCAAACTCACTGCCTGCCGTTCAGTCACTTCCAATTCAGGATGACTACAGGACAGGGTTGCGCTGCCCCTGTGAGTTTCTGAGACTCTAACTTCTTAGGGAGGGAAAGCCCTGTCTTTCTCCCTCAGAACAGCTGGTGGTTTCCAACTGCTGGCCTCGCAGTTAGCTGCCGCCCAACGTAACCACTACACTATAGGCTCCTCTCACATTGTGATTCAGATTAAATATATCCTTGAACCTACCTTAGTTTCTAACCCTAGCTGCATACCTGAATCACCAGAGGACTTAAACAACAAACAGCAAAACCCTCCTGGGTCCCCCTTGTTTAGGTGAACCAGACCTTCTAGGACTGAGGTTCAGGCAGTGGGGCGCTTTAAAAGCTCTCTGCCTGAGGATGCAGCCAGGGTTGAGAACCATTGAACTAATAAAGCGCTGTGTCCTGTCATTCCCTGACTTTCCCAGTGGATTCTAGTTCACCAGGTTACCTTTCTACACAGCCCCCAGACCCATGCGTCTCAGCGTCGACAGCATGTTAGAATCACCTGGAGAACTCTGGAAAATGCCTGTGCCCAGGCCACCCCCGGTCCGTTAGATCTGAATCCGCTGGCGTGTCACCTGACGTCAGGATTTTGCAAAGCTTCCCCAGCTCATTCCAATGTGCTGCTAAGTCTGAAAACCACTGCTGGGACCCTTCTTACAGCACACACAATTTAAGTGACCTGGAACTGAAATACACCACCTTCCTCCCTGCTGAGGGAAGAGGGCCATGGGGGAAGGCTGGACCTTCGGGCTCCGGCTGGGGTGAGGGAGCGGACCAGTGAGCTTGACCTAATCACCTGGCTGGGAACGGACTGTTGGCTCTCTGTTTTATTTGGTGTGGTCAGTCTACACCGGGAGTAGTGCAGTGTCAGCTCACCTTGGCCCACCACGCCGCAGTTGCCCACAGCCTCCTTTCCTAGCGGACTGAAAGCACGTCGTTTTGCATGAAGACGTACGAACGCTGTATTTGGGAAGAACTAGTGAACAGGTGCTCTTTAGCAGGCACACGGACTTTGTCTTCACCCAGACAGACTGCCGCCAGGACACCTTCAGACCAAGCTGCGGCAGACACAGGGCCGGCTGTCACCTGCAGGGCTGGCAGAAGTAGTGTCTTCTGCAGCTCAGTTAAAGCAATCTGAACCCCCACCCCCGGGGTCTCTGCCCCAGCACCTGCGTGACCAGCAGAGGCACATGTCCTTGGGTCCAGAGCCCAAGGACATCCCATCAGCCTGCCTCCATGAGGCTGGGCCCCACCACCCTCTACATTTAACCTCAGCGCAGCAGGACTCGGCCTCCAGTAGTGAGTCTTTGCTTTGTGTTCCCAGTACCTCCAGTTGGTCGGGAATGTGATAGGAGTGCATAGACCATTCCGTTTCAAATTGCTTTTTTTCTTTTTAAAGAAAAAGAGAGCGCCCTGAATGTCGCCCCGAATGTCGTCCCCCCGTCAATCTCGGGCAAACTTCACTGTGACTGTGAAGACCCACCACTAAGCTGTGGCCGGGAGAGCAGGGGACGGGGACGGATCGAGGGGGTGCAGCAGCCTTCTTTTGATTCATTCCAGGCGGGAGACACCGCACTCCACATTGCCGCGGCTCTAAATCACAAGAAGGTGATTAAGATCTTACTGGAAGCTGGAGCGGACGGGACCATTGTCAATAATGTAAGTTCCTTTGCACCGATGACTTGTAGAGCTATCCCAGAGTGGGGTGTTACTAGAACATGAACGCCTGCAGACCCCAAGGGCGGCCGGCCCGCCCAGCTGAGCCCGGGGAAGACCAAGAGGTTCTGCTGAAGTCGGAGGACCTGGGATCCTGGAGGGGGGCTTGATCCCTATGAGTTGACGAGCCCTGAGGGCAAGCAGACATGACAGGAAAGCTCAGCGATGCCTCTCTGTGTAGGCCGACGTGCTGCTGCCCAGAGCCAGTCAGTCCCAAGCCAGGGAGCCAGCACGCGTGCTCCTGGGGAAGCCGCCAGGCTCATCCTTGCTCTCCGCTCTCTGCCCTATCCTTCCCCGCCCTCCAGCAGGCCATCGCTGGGCAGTTCAGGCATTCTCTTCCCAGAGACAGACAGACCAACGGAAGTAGTGCCGTGTCAGGAAGAACGGGGTGGTCCAGCACATGGAGGGGCTGTGGGTGCTGATGATGGTGAGAGGCAGGGCCATTCTTGGCTTCCTGATCTAGTAACCCTTTTCTCCTCTTACAGTGAGCGTCCTCACCCCCCCACAGAGCTGTAGAACCAGTCAGCAGGGACTTGCTGCAGTCTGGAAGCACATTTCTTTTGTTTGTTTGTTTGTTTGTTTGTTTGTCTTTTCCTCACATTTGTTATGGTTGAGTTTAAAAATTTTTTATTTTTAATCAGGAAGCACGCTTCTTGAGTCCACTGCTGTCCTCCCTTAGTCTGGGTTTCATCTCCCAAGAACCTAGGTTTGGGCAGTGGCTTCCTGATTGCCTTTCACAGTTCCACCCCTGACACGGCTATGGCCAGGTCCCCACTCCTCACTCCCACCTGCCCCTCAGCCGCCGTCCCCGCTGCTCCTCGGGGTCAATGTATTGTCCAGCTGGTTGTACCCTCCTCTGTGCTGTTTCCTCGCCTCGTGCTCCACTTTGGTCCCCTTGGGTTTTTCACAAGCCCTGGTGGTGCAGTGGGTTACACTGCTGGGCTGTTCATCACGAAGTCAGCAGTTGGAATCTCCCAGCCGTTCCTTGGGAGAAAGACGAGACTTCTCCTCCCGTAAAGATTCACAGTCTGGGAAACCCACAGAGGCAGTTCTACCCTGTCTCTTGGTGTTGCTACGAGTCGGAATCTACTCGATGGCTGTGAGTCTGTGTTGGGGTTTTTGGTCCCCTGCCTTCCAGAGCACGGACTGCTTCCTGGGTCAGCACTGACTCGTGGTGCTGTGCATCGCTGATGAATACCCTTGGGCTCTCTGGTCGCATGGAAATCGGGTCTTAGTCCTGGCTGTTTCCATGAGTGCCCGGAGAGGCTGGCTGGCCAGCTAAGGGTGAGGGTTGGGCATGTGCAGAGTTGGTGCTCCATTACCCATTGTCCCTCTCTCTGTCTTCCTAGGCAGGCCAGACTCCACTGGAGACAGCCCGCTGTCACAATAATCCAGAAGTCGCCCTTCTTCTCACTAAAGCGCCCCAGGTAGGCTGTAGTTCATTTTCCACCTTATTGATTACATCAGGCTACAGAGTCACCGGGACGCCTCTGGCTGTGATCTACTAAAGCCAGTTCAAACACACTTAAATAGACATCAGTGGGCTCATTGCTAAACCCTGGAATATAGAGGAACCCAGATGAGCATCTAGGGTGACAGGAACCAAGGGCTTCTACTGGCAGGTTCCCCTTCACACGTGGGCCTCACCTGCCCTGTGCCTACATCGTTGTCACCTGGATAGCGGCTTCCTGGATGAAAACTTCCCAGCTACTCAACTGTGCAGGAGTTCCAGTGTGAAGTACCTTGGGAAAGCCCTGACTCATCAGCTGGGGGAAATGCCCAGCCCCCGAGCAAGCGGAATGAGGCTTGGAAGATGACATCATCCATTCAACCAAGGAGCTCCAGGGAGCACTTCCCAGGTTAGGTCGTGAAGGCAGATCAAGCAGTACTTGTCTACCAGAGGCGGTTAGGGACAGTGCGGTTTTCTTTCTCTAATTAGTGGAATAATGATATTGGGACCATCGTTCAACTTAAACACATGATGGCTAACGTATCATCATTTGACTTAAGATGGACATTATCTAAATAATAATAAAGACATCTAATGATAATTTATGAGTTATTCATAATCCTAGCATGTTGAATACAACTGTTTTGACTTTTTCCATACAACCTTCCATAGGAACATGTGCCTAACATATGCAAATATGCACACACACAAGTGTGTGTATATGTATATAGATATATACAACAAACCACATGTACGAGTAGCTCGTTTTCTGCCTTTTATTCTAACTATAGTAGGAAAATGTTTTGTAGTCTTCATAATTACTCACTATAATGGAAGTATAATTTTGTTGTGGCCTTTTGAAATGTTAAACGATTCCTTAACATTGGACATTGACGTTATTTCCAGATAGGACTCTTGTATCTTACACTCCAGCAAACGCTGCATGGTTTGGCCTCTGATTTTGGCAAATGTTGCAAGCAGACATAAAGTCTCAGGGAGGCACAGGAACTTCTGAAACCAGCCCTCGCATCTGCTTCCCCGCCCAATAGCAGTTTCACCCAGTGCTTTGAAAACATGCCCAATCAAACTAGCAGTTTCTGGAAATGGTTGCGTTTTTCAGTTGTTGTTTTGTCTTGTGAGACTGATCAGTCTCTCGCCAGTGGACTTGGTCTTTCTCAGAGCCCTTTGGATTCTACAGAGCTCCAGACCGCAGTGAGTCAGGGGGTTCTTGGGGATCCACCTCTCCAGTCATTGGAATCGAGTCCTCAGCGGAATCACCTCTATGAATCCTGGATGACAAAATGCTGGTCTCTCCTGGGTCCCAAAGTACAGGGTGCTCTGCAGTCAGCCTCCGTTCCAGTGGCTGGCAAGTGGATCAAGACCTATGGGGCCGGAGCCCTCCCAGCCACTCCCAAGTCTGCTGTTTGTTCCTTAAACCCACCTGTCGATTGTCTTCCAAGCGCACGGAGCCTCACTCGCAGGGAAAGCAGCTTCAGCTGGGTCCATTTCCCCAAGCATGTTTTTCGAGTTCCCATTAAAAGTGGCGTAAGCAAGCTTTTCCACACATATTTAATTGCCAGCAAATAGACGACGTTAAGGAAGTTCCCTTAGCTCTGAAACTACCTAAATGTTCTGTTGGCCTGTAGTCACAGACGCAGCCTTTCTGTCTGTGTTGTCTGAACAGAGAAATCCCTTTCTCCTGGCACCGAGCTGACCGTGGGTTTCCGGAGCCACGTGGTGCTGAGAGAGTTGGGGCGTCCTGCCTGTGTGTGGACTGGGGAGGCGGAGCGGCAGCCGTGTGGTCGGTGGTGCGGTTCGCCGACACAGGCTGAAGCCCAGACAAGGGCCTTCCGCTGGCCAGTCCCATGACAGATGGAGCGGACTGGTCTGATGATTCTTTTGGGGTTGGGTGACCTCTGAGTGTCCCTAGTCATTTTTGATGGACGTGGTTCACAGATGCCCCTGAAAGTCAACCTCAGGCGGACCCAGGTGCCGTGTGTTCCGGGAACATGTCACCTGGGGGCACCAGGCACCAGTTGTCTCCGTGCATCATGCCTGACTTCCTGTGACTTCCTAGGGAGTCTGATCTTTGGCTTTGAAAGACTGAGGGCCGTGGTCCTCAGGCTTGTCGGCCTCAAGCCTCCTTTCCCTTCTTACACGTTAGGGAGGCCTCAGAAGAGCTTCTGTTCATGTAGGCTAGCCATCCGTCACTGCCATATTTAAGGTTAAAATGGAGAAGCATTCAAAAATAGACTTAGTCGTTTACTTAGCACAATAAACCCATTCACGTTCACAAAATAGCCTGAGGTCTTTGCACTCCTTCAGAACTGTGGGCTCAGGGTTGAAAATCCGTTTCCATCACGGGAGAGTATTATCCAGGGTTTTACAGTGAGAGGGGACCCCTGCTGGAAGAGGTTCTTTCTTGTCATTTAATGTCATTTAACATTTAATGTTAGGAAAGTTTGGGGGAAATGAAAAGTATTATGTGAAATTTCGTCCAACCCTTCCTGGTCTCTATAGGAATATAATAGTTTGTTTTTAATTACTGTAGAAATATGTTTTTAAAAACACAACACAAAAATCAACAACAAAACAACGTGCCCTTGAAAAGGCCTGTTTACCTCTGAGCCTCCTTGGATAAAGGTGGTGACACTGAAGCCAGACTGGAAAGGGGCTGGAGGTTGAGCTGGGCCAGAGATTGGGGGTTTCCACGAGCTCCGAGAAAAGTACTTCCTGGCCAAATGTCTTTTGCTAATTGAAGCACCTCTGGGTGACCAAGGCGAGTAGGGAGGCACCTGTCAATGACTGCTGGTCCAATGTCACTAGCCCCCTACTGTCAGTTAAATCCCAACAACGCCCCGTTCCCATATTCAAGCAGCTAGAGTTCAGAGACTGTGTTAGTCCAGGTTGACTCGAGAAACAAATCCAGGGAGACTCATCCGTGTGTAAGAGAGCACTTTATATGAAAGAGTAGTTGTATATTAAGCAAACATCCTAGCCCAATCCAAGTCCATGTGTGATATTAGCCCATATGTCCAATACCAGTCTATAAAGTCCTCCTCAGACTCACACAGGACATGCAATGACACCAAATGCAGGAAGATCACAGGCCAGTGGGTGGAAAGTCTTGTGGATCCAGTGGTGATGGAAACATCTCAGTGCTAATGGGGATCTCCCCATGGCTCATCCAGCGCAGGCCATCCAGCTTGGCTCCATGTGGCTTGTCAACAAGAATGTCTCACAGGGACACAAGTAGAGTGTGTCTGGAGCTGGCTTCCAGTGAACTATTTATCTCCATGGCGCCTCCAAAGTAGGTCATTAAGCTGCAATCTGATTAACAGGCTAAACTCTACTCCTTCGAAAGCTGACAGGAGATTATGTAACTGCCACAGAGACATTGGATCACATGCCCCAAGATCCTTTTGTAACTGAATTCAAACACGTACCTACCTGAACCACCTGTGCACACTGTAAGGGACAGGTGATGTACTTTATTTGAGGGCAGACATCTCTGCCCAGTGACTTATACCATGGCTCCTAGACGCCCCTTAAACATGTTTGAGTCGGAGAGAACGTCTGAGAGTCTAGTTCAGGTTCAATATATCAGGATGACGAGTCCAAGTTCAGAGCACCTAGTTTATGTAGTCCTAGTCTATGTGAAGGTGCCCTTGGAGTCTGTCGCCTGCGATACACACCGACGGGCAGTCCTGCGGTTCTCATAAAATGCGAGCTCCTTGAGGTGGGGACCTCTCCACCTCGGGAGCCGGACAGTGCCTACCTCCAGACTGGCGGCCATCAGGGGAGTCCAGGAGGCTGGCGTGCTGTGGGTACTTGGTCTCCCTACTAGGCCGTACGTTCCTTCCTTCGGGTCAAACTCCAGGTCCAAGGAGCACCCGGCCCTATCGATGCTGCGCTCACCAGTGCTTTGTAACGATGCCTCTTGCCTCCTTCAGGTTTTGCGTTTCACTCGCGGGCGAAGCCTGAGGAAAAAGAGAGAGAGGCTCAAGGAAGAGAGGAGAGCGCAGTCTGTGCCAAGAGATGAGGTGGCACAAAGCAAGGTGGGGGGTAGCCCTCCCGCCCCACTCCCCTTCTTCTGCAGTGGGTGGGAAGCCATCTCCTTCCTTTCACTGGGTTCATCCAGCAGCTACTGTGCTGTCCTGGCCTCTTGCCCCGCGGGGGTTCTTCCAAGGATGGTCAGGCTTTCCCCAGGGCTCATGTCCCCATGCCCCAGGGTTCCGGAACCTGTGCCTACCTGCGTGGGTGCTGCCCACCTTGGCCTGCATCTTTGGGGGACATGCTTCCGAGCCCCGTGCATCTGGCCCTTGTTCCCCCCAGGTGGGTGGCACTGCCTCTCGGATGCCAGGCCCTTTCATTGTGGTTCTCGAGGGTGGAAGCTGGTGCATCACTGAAGCTTGTTGAGATGCACACCCCACGGCCTCACCTCAGCCATCCTCGTTAGGACTCTCTGCGTGGGGCCCAGCAATCTGTGTGAACAAACTTTCTCCGGGTACATGTGATAGGCACTCCAGTTTGAGAGCTATGGGCCTTAGTTGCTTCCTTTCTTTCGGATTGGGGAAGGGACCCCAGCAGGGCAAACCTGCATGGCTCCTGCGTGCAATTAGAAAAAGAGGTACCCTGGGCTGACCAGCCCCATGTGGGGCACACACAATTGGAATTCAGCTCCCATCAACCCACTCGCTCACCCAGCTCAGCTGGGGGTCCTTGTGGAGTGAAGAGTTTGCACAGTTTCACGTGGGGGCCCTGGAAGGAGCCGTTCCTTTCCGGTGTTTCCCAGGAGAAAGGCTAGGACACAGACTGATTGAGCTGGCCCTCGTGTGCCACGTCTAAATCAGACCCCCAAGTGCCTGCTCTTCTGTCCGCCACTCCCTGATCCTCTCGTCCATCTCCAGGGTGCGACCATGCCACTGGGATGAGGTATGGTCCATAACTGTGCCGTTGTACACGTTCTCTGGAGGACCAGAATTTGGATAATACCTCATTCCAAGCAATTCTCTCTGCCTTGCATTGTGGGGGTTCAGATCCAAACAAGGAGTGGGGTTCTGTCTAGTTGAAGTGCAAAGACTGAAAACCTGTAGGGCAGAGATGTTCTGTGAGTAGTAGGTTCCTGGAGTTCTGGCACAAGGAATTAGACCCAAGTACACATTGGGTTTGGTACCTAATCAACATAATAAAAGCAAAGTCTTCAACTAGCCAAGATATTCAGTGAAGCCTACCACGCTAGGCCTGAAACTTACCTCCTTGGCAAAGGTTGACCGAGGTCCCTTGGTGGAGACTTGCAAACAGAATTTTACCCCATTCGTGAGAGAGGGGGAGCCCTGGTGGCGTAGTGGGTTAGCATGGGCCTGCCCACCTCAGAGTTAGCAGTTGGAGACTACCAGCCACTCCCTGGGAGAAGAACGAGGCTGTAAGGAGCAGCCGCTGAGCCAGAACGGCCTCGAAGGCAGTGGGTTTGGTTTGGGGGAGTGGAAACGGTGATGGGCCAAGTTCAAAAAGCGCCTTCTTACTGCCTCCTGGTGAGCCTCACCCTTGGCTAGTTCGGACTGGGTTCCTTGCTAGTTCCCGTGCTGGGTGTGCGGGTCTGTGGGGGTACGGGAAATGTCAGCCACAAACCTGGCCTCCTCCAGCAGACGCTGCTCTCTCATGACCTCCTCCCTGCTCCGAAGGGCCAACTTCCATCCAAGGAAGAAAAAGGGCAATGGAAGGTCCTTCGGGGTTGTGCAGGGTCGGAGCAGCGTTGGCCTCTGACTCTGGTGGGGAAGGTGGAAGGAATACGGTGTCTTTCAGCACAGTCTCTCGTCTCCCCACAGCTAAGGATCAAGTCTCCCCTTAAAGAAATGGCAGCTTGGGTCTGACATGGATTTGAAGAGGGGGCTTCTTAGGTGTCTGGGCTTTTTCCCTTCTGCAGGGCAGTGTCTCCGCGGGAGACACCCCCAGCAGTGAGCAGCAGGCTGTGCCCGGGAAAGAAGAGGCCAGAGAAGACTTCCTGTCCGCCTCCCCCGAGCCCAGGGCAAAGGACAGCGGGAGGAGAAAGTCAAGGCCCAAGGTCAGGAGGCACGTGAGAGCAGCCTAGAGGGTGGCGGGCAAGGACAGATTGACAGAGGGCCTGGGACCCACCATGCCCGACGGCGAAAACGCTGCTTCCCCGGCCTGCTGGTGTGGAGCCAGCACACAGACGTGGAAGCTGGCTCCCTGCTGGCAGAAGGTTGGCGTGTCTGTTGATCTCTCTGGACACGCAGCATTGGCGTCGGATGCCTGGAGGGGAAGCAAGGGGGTGCAGGCAGGCTTCCTGGTCCAAAGGTTGCTGAGATGGAAGCCACTGCTGGTGTCACGCTCAGATGTCACTGGTGCTCACTCGGGGACTTCTCTCTTCCTCTCACTCAGGTGCCAGCCTTTTCAGACCCTACGCCACCAGCAGACCAACAGCCTGGGCCCCAGAAGGATGCACACGCTCACGGCCACCCTAAAAAGAGGAGCCGGCATCGGTGTTCATCCCCACCCCCTCCCCACGAGTTCCGAGCCTACCAGCTCTACACCCTGTACCGGGGCAAGGATGGGAAAGTCATGCAGGTAGCGTGGGGGCGAAACGAGGCCGCCGGTTTGACAGCAGCCCGGGGGCTCTCAGCACCTTCTGGCTGTGGTTGAATACAGCAAGTGGTTGGAGGATAAGTCGGGTGGCCCTCCCGACTCAGAAGGGGTAGAGGTACCCCTGCTGCCTAGGCCCAGGCAAACAGAGTTAATCACAAGGTTTCCTGCACCATCGTCTTGTTTGCAGGGGTGCAGTTGGCACCCAGTTGGAGGCAACCCCCACGTACCACAGAATGACTGCTGCTGAGTCCTGGGCCCCCCCATCCGTGTCGGTCCCTGGGGATCAGAGTGCGTGATCCATTGGGTTTTCATTGGCCGATTTGTGGAAGTAGACCACCAGGTCTTTCTTCCTCATCCATCTCAGGCTAGGCACTCCGCTGAAACCTATTTAGCAAGCCTCGACTGACCGATGGGGAGTAGTTGGGCAGTAGTTGCGTTGACCAGGAGTCTGAGGGAGCCCAGGTCTGCTGAGGGAACGTGCAACTGACACCAGTGGCTTCACATGCCATCTGTCAGTGAGCGAGCAGTCTGAGATCCCAGAGCGGAGAAGAGCAGTGAGCAATCGAGAGGGATGACAGCTTGCTGTCTCCTCCATCAGGCCTATTCTCTGCACCTAGTGTACAGTCTGGCACTTTGTGTGGGCTCAAGGTGTAGCTGTTGAACGAATGAGCTGGCTGTAAGGGTTCCTTTTCTGTTGCCTTTGTAGGCGCCTATAAATGGCTGTCGATGTGAACCTCTCATCAACAAGCTGGAGAACCAGTTGGAGGCAACTGTAGAGGAGATCAAAGCTGAGCTGGGGTCTGTCCAGGATAAAATGAATATAAAGCTGGGGCATATGGAGACTAAGACCCAGCACCAGGTGAGCAAGCGGGCCAGCCCCCTGTGGCAGCAAGGTGCTGTGTCACAAAGCGAAATCAGAACGAGGCCTTCGTACCCCTTGTCTGTAAGAGCTGCCCCTCGTGCCCTGGGCTCCTGTGCTTGAGCCCACTGTGCCTGTCCATCTCATTGAGGGCCTCCCTCCCCTTTGCTGCCCCTCCCCTTACCAAGCGCGACGCCCTATCCAGGGACTGCCCTCTCCTGACATGTCCACAGCACGCAAGAGGCCAGTCCGACTTGTGGCCAGGCAAGGATGACTGCTGACCTAGTTTTGTTTGTTGACGTCACTTAACATGATTAAATCGCCTCTGGTTATAAAAGGAATGCATACCCACTACAGCGCAGTTAGAAGAATAAGAGGGAACCTAAACCACCTATCAAACACCATCAAGAGAAAACACTGTGAATCTTTGGGCTTCTTTCCTCACGGCCTTTTCTCTCCAGCAGTCAGCCCGCCCCACGTGCTCCGCTGCCCCACCCGCAGAACTAGAGCAGTCACGCCCACGATTTCCCTCTGCTCCAAACTTGTATTTGGAAAGTTTTCAAGCATAAATGAAAGCAAAAAGAATAACATAATGAGCATTCATATACCTTCCACCCAGATTCAACTTTTTTTTTTTTTTAGTCATACTAACTGTACATGTCATTCACACACATACTTATTTCTTTGCTGAACTTGATTGAATCAGGAATGCTAGCTTGCAGGCCAGCAGTCTGTGTTTTAGCAAACCTTCCAGGTACTTCTGATGCATGTGAATGTCAGAGACCGCTGGTTTAGATTCAGAATTAGGTCCAACTTATGTACATTTGGCAGGAGTCCTTCATCCACCAGGGAGCCCTGGTTCCTTTAGTGGTCATGAGTCAGACTGCAGTCTGCGAGGTTGGCAGTTTGAAACCCAGCAGCAGCTCCCCAGGAGAAAGACGAGGCTCTCTACTCCCGTGAAGAGTGACAGTCTCAAAAACTCAAGGGTCTCTGTGCGTTGGCGTTGACTCAGTGAGTTTAGCTTCTTTTTGGCTTACTGCATGCGCCAGTACGAAGGGTGTGGACACCAAGCTGTATTGAAGCGGAAGGAACATGAGGTCAGGGTGTCTTGATTATTTTATTTTATTAAATAATTTTATTGGGGGCTCTTACAGCTCTTATCACAATCCATATGTACATCCATTGTGTCAAGCACATGTGTACATTTGTTGCCATCATCATTTTCAAAACATTTTCTTTCTACTTGAGTCCTTGGTATCAGTTCATTTCCCCCTCCCTCCCTCATGAATCCCTAATTTACCATTTTTTCCCCATGTCTTACACTGAAGATGTCTCCTTTCACACAATTTTTTGTTGTCATCCCCCTGGAAGAGGGTCATATGTAGATCATTGTGATTGGTTTTCCCTTCTCCCCCACCTTCCCCTTCCCCTCCTGGTATCACTACTCTCATTACTGGTCCTGAGGGGTTAATCCATCCTGGATTCCCTGTGTTCCCAGCTCATATCTGTACCCTTGTATGTGCTCTGGTCTAGCCATATTTTTAAGGTAGGATTGGGGTCATGATAGTGGTGGGGGGGGACATTAAGGAACTAGAGGAAAGATGTATGTTTCATCGGTGAGGATGTCCTAATTACTAATGATGCCCAGTTTCATCACTTGGTTAAGCTGGCCCCTGCCATCTCTCTCCACCGTAAAGGTGCATTGTCCTTTTGTAATTACTTGTTAATGTGCGGCAAATCTTGGCCTTTTAAATACTTTATCATGGTGAGATCTATGTAACAAAAATGTGCTATTGGAACCCCTTGAACATGTCCAATTCATGACGTCATTGCGTCCAACCATGGCCACTGCCATTTCCAAATGCTTTTCATCATCCCAGACAGGCACTCCGTTCCCCTCGAGCAATAGCACCCTGGGTACAGATTTCACACTAAGGCCAGGCAGTGTGCATGGCATTTTGCTCCCTGTTCTCTTCACTGTGCATCGGGAGCATGTTTCAGTGTATTGATACCACATGATGTGTGCAGCCATTCCCCTGGGGTAGGCTTCTCATCGCCCGCCGTCCTTTCACACGGTGCTAAGTCCTGCTGTGATGAAGAGTTTATATGCATAACCTTTGGATTTTTTGCTCAAAATAGTTGGGCCCCAAGTTAAGACTATGTTTAAGGCTCTTATACATAATGGCAAATTCCATAATAGAAAGGCTGTAAGGATTCATGCCTGCAACAGCTGTTGAGTTTTCAAACCATCGTTTAATATTATTATTTTTCAAACTGATTAAAGGACATTTTATTGCTTAATGTTTATTTCCCTGTTTACTGGTGAGGTTTTTCTTTTTTGGTGTTTTGTGGGTTTTTTTTGAGGTTGAACATTTTTGTGCTATTTGAATTTTGTAGAAACTCCATTTTGTTAAAAATCTCTTCTCAGGGCCCAACTACGAAGAGTAAACTGGGGGGGAAAGAACTCACATTAGCCCAGACCCCAGGCAGCGTGGACTGGGCGAGTGCTCACGAGGACTCCTGGGGCAGGCACCCCTGTCTGAGGACAAGCATGGAGGGAGCCCTGCGAGGAATCGGGGAGGCTGCTTCTACCATCTGCCTTAGTCTTTCCTCCTCCCTCTGGTCCATTTGTTCTGGGTCCTCCACATTCAAAAATGGTCTTTGTTGGGTTTAGAACAGGGTGGAGAGGCTTCACTCTAACTCCAAATCCCAGGGGAAAAGGACTCTGGCCGGAGTCAGGCATTCACGCCAGGACCCATCACCGCCATGTGGGAAGAAAGCCCTAGTCATCTGTGTTGCAGGAGTGGGGGGCAGTGCAAAGGCAGTGGGGGTACCAGGCCTAGAAAACAGGAGGCGGGCACTGCACAGAAGCCCGAGGCTCACCCCTCTCTGGCAGTGGCTGCTCTGTATGGTGGAACATCTGAGTGCGGGGCACGTGTGTGTCCTGAGAGGAGAGGAGCTCACCCCCGAGCCCTGGTGGCCTTGCTCCCACTGCTAACCTCTTCTGGTCACTTGGCAGTGGACCTTTGTGTTAGTCTGAGTGACTAGAGAAACAAATCAACAGAAACTATATATAACTTTTATATAAAGGGTAAGTGTACATTAGGAAAGCATCCCAACCCAGTGCTGCCCAAGCCCATAAGTCCAACATTAGCCCATATGTCCAACACCATCTATAAAGTCCTCCCCAGCCTCACAAAACACACGTAGTGATGCTGACTGCAAGAGGAAAGCCGAATCAGTGAACATGTAAGCATCTCAGCGCTGGCAGGGGTCTCCACACGGCTGCTCCAGCACCCAGGGCTGTATCGGGGTAGGTCCATGTGGCTTCTCCTCAGGGATGTCTCACAGGAAGTGAGCCTTGCCTGCTGAAGCAGGGAACTGGCTAAGGCAGCTGCACCCTGGTCCGACTATCAGAGAGCAAGAGCCCCGAGAACCAGAAAGGTGAGGTTCACTGAGCCATTTATCCCTCTTCCCTTCAATTAACCCCACAGGTGTTTATTGGCCAGGTTGGCACAATAAACCATAGCTATATCAACCTTGTTCAAGTGGTGACAGTGTGGCCCTGTTGGGGGCGAGGGCTCTGCTGGAAATGGAAGAGACAGAGGGGTCCCAGAAAGGCACAGGTTGAAGGGTCACAGCCACTGGCTCTCTGAAGCACTTCCTGTGACTCCTTCCCCAGCCTTCTTTGCTCAGAGCGTTCAGCCCTGGTGCATTGTGGGTACGAGTTGGGCTGCTAAAGGCGGAAGTCAGCAGTTTGAAACTACCAGTCTCCCCTCAGGAGAAAGAGGAGGCTTGGACAAGTACCCTGCCCTGCATCGTCTCCATGTGTCAGGATGGCCTCGGGGCGTCAAGATGTTTCCTTTGTTTTGTTTTCGCTACTTTTAGTGATGCACCGAAAATGCTGACCCCCAGGAGGGCTGGATGAGAACACTGAACAGGCGGCTTGTGTCAGTACCTTTTGGGCAACTGTCAACCAACATTGTTTAGTTTAAAAGTGGGCATCATTTCTCCCTACAGAAGTCTCCTTTGCTTACAAAGCCTGCCTTGGGAGGTGGGGGAGGTGTTTGTACTCTCTCACATCCTTTGTGGCTTCAAGGAACTAGAAAAGGGAAGAAAGGATGCCTGCCCCTCCCTCCCCGCCCCAATGCTCAGGCATTCTGAAACCTCCCCGGAAAGGACCAGAATGAGGAGTCAGGTTTGCTAGCTTTCCTCTGGCCGGGCCGGCCGCCCCCTGACCCCTCCTGGGGGGTCAAGAGACCAGGACCCCCTGGAGACCCTCTCGTTCAAGGGCCTTTGCTGTTGACTCCTAGATGCGTGTGCTGGACAAGCTGATGGTCGAGCGACTCTCCGCCGAGAGAACCGAGTGTCTGAGTCGCCTGCAACAGCACTCGGACGCGGAGCGGCACGAGGGAGAGAAGCGGCAGGTACACGCAGGAGAAACGCGGTGCCCGGGGACAGGTGGCAGCCCTGCCCTCAAGAACATTCCTGAAGGCTCCGCAGTCCCATTCCCCTCCTGGCACCCAGGCAGGGGAGAACTGCCCTGTAGGGTTCGGCCTTTCCCTTCACCAGAGGAGCCCTGGTGGCGTAGTGGGTTAGGAGTTGTGTCTAATGGCAAGGTCAGCAGTTTGAAACCACCGACCGTTCAGTGGGAGAAAGATGAGGCTTTCTACTCCCTTGAAGAGTGACAGTCTCAGAAACCCACGGGGGCCAATCTGCTGCCCTACAGGTGCGTTTTGAGCCAGAACCGACGCGTGGCATGCAGGGTTTTACTCCCTCCCTGGTAACTACCGTGCACTCTTGCTTCCTAGGGTAAACCTTGTCTCGACTTCTTATAAGAATAGTGACCCCACACTACTTGTCCTTCTGTGATTGACATACTTCACTCCGCATAAGGCCCTCCAGATCCATCCGTACGATGTTTTGCAGACTCGTTCTCGTTACCGTTGCATGGTAACTCCTTGTGTTTATCCGGTCGTTCATCACTGCTGCCCTCCACTCGTCCTCATGAGTGGCGCTGCCGTGAGCATGGGTGTGCACTCGTCCATCCACGTCACTCCTGTTTCTCCAGCATGTGTGAGGGCTTCAGAAAGGTCCTGGAAAATTCCATTATCTTTTAATTCTGTTTTTCCACAGACGTCCATGTGTGGGAGTGGGGCTGCTAGGTCTTAGGGTATTTTTATTTCTAGCTTTTGAGGAAGTTTCAGACCATGTCCTTTTCTTTCTGTTTCTTAAACCGTTTTCTTGGCACTCCATCCGCATATCGTACAATTCAGTAGTTCAACCATATCAAAAAGAGTTGTACAATCTTTACCACAATAGATTTTAGAACATTTTCTTTTTTCTCTTATTCTTGTAATTTTAATCAAATTTTTGCAAAAGTGTACAAAACAGAACACTGACCAATTCAACAACTTCTGCCTATATAGTTTGGTGCCATTGATTTTACTCTTCGTGTGTACAACCATTAGTTATCTGTCTCCAAATTATTTCACCACCGTTAAAGTGAACTCATTGCCCAAGCAAAAACTCTTCCTCCTTCACCCACAGTAACCATAGCTCAAGTTTGATTTGTCTATCTTTTTTCTTTTTAGTACTTTTCTTGATATACTATTCACATATCATTCACTTCCACAGTTAAACCGCCTCTAAAGAGTTGTACAGGCATCATCACAGTCAGCCCTAAGGCTCCCTCCCCGCCTTAGTCTTTCCTCCTCCCTCTGGTCCATTTGTTCTGGGTCCTCCACATTCAAAAATGGTCTTTGTTGGGTTTAGAACAGGGTGGAGAGGCTTCACTCTAACTCCAAATCCCAGGGGAAAAGGACTCTGGCCGGAGTCAGGCATTCACGCCAGGACCCATCACCGCCATGTGGGAAGAAAGCCCTAGTCATCTGTGTTGCAGGAGTGGGGGGCAGTGCAAAGGCAGTGGGGGTACCAGGCCTAGAAAACAGGAGGCGGGCACTGCACAGAAGCCCGAGGCTCACCCCTCTCTGGCAGTGGCTGCTCTGTATGGTGGAACATCTGAGTGCGGGGCACGTGTGTGTCCTGAGAGGAGAGGAGCTCACCCCCGAGCCCTGGTGGCCTTGCTCCCACTGCTAACCTCTTCTGGTCACTTGGCAGTGGACCTTTGTGTTAGTCTGAGTGACTAGAGAAACAAATCAACAGAAACTATATATA